AGAGTTTGATCCATGTCCCTTGGAGACTTCATGACATTCGTTAGCTGGCATGTATTTTTAATACAAAATAAAAAAATTGATTTAGTCAATACTCAAGAAACACTTCCTGAACAAATAAGTGGTGATTCTGGTTTTCAGGGGAAAACTCTCTTAAGATGGTTTCTGGAAATCAGGTAACCGGCTGCCTGATTAAAACGAGGCAGCTTTCAGAGGAGTGAAATAGAAATGTCCCAAGCTTGCCCCTGGGGAGACATGACCAAAACAGAACCACAGCTCCTCGGTGCCTACCCCAAATCATCACAGCTCAGCACCTCCAATCCATCCTGGATACTGTTTACGGGTGTAGGTATCTCCCCACCCACACCTGAACCAGAACAGAGTCCTTGCCAGGCGCTCTGCCAGTCTCTCCAAAGCCCAGCACATTCATAAGTGATCTGATCAGCCATCCAGAACATCCGTCTGTCCCCAGGCTGGTGAGGAGCAGCGCCATCCCGTGGCTTGATTCCTGTTGTAAGTAATGCCAGATCAGAGTTACATTTCCATGAAGTCATCTCTGGGAGCCAGGCTCCCTCTCAAGGCAGTGAGACACCAGGGTCCAGGGTTGGTGCTTCCCCTGCAGCTGCTGGGAGCCTGCCTCGGGCTATGCTGTCTGGTATCTCGTGCCAGGAATCCACTGTCCAAGGGTGTTTCCCCAAGTCAAATTCTCCATTTAGTCATTCAGGAAATATTCACTATATTGAGCCTACTATAGGCTCAGCACCAAGCATCAAATGTCTCTTTTTTTGGTGGGTACAGGGGATCGGTTGGCAGTGAGACTCAACTTCAAGGTCCTTGTTGAGCGCCTGCCCTGCTTTCAATGCTTCCTGTGGGTTAATCCATGGCATCTTAGAGGCAGCCCTAAGAGACTCTCCTGTCACCCCTTGTCATAGTTGAGGAACTTGAGGCACAGAGAGATCAAGACACCTGCCCAAGCTCACATAGCTGGTGAAAGGCAGGATCCAAACCTGAGCAGCCCAGCTCCAGAGCCCCACTCTTACTGACCCCTCGGTCCCCCTGGACACCCCACCCCACCCTCCTTAAAGGGCCTCTATCTCTGGGCATCTACTCAGGGCATTCTCCAAATTGATAGGCAGTGTTAGTTCTTTAAAAATAAGTCCTGGCAGGATGGGAGTCTCACTGGACAGGGAGGGTGGCAGGGTGGTCAGGAGTTGGGGTCTGGACTCAGGGGGCCGTGATGGCTAGAAGTCCTGCCCCTTCCTCGGTGGAAAGAGAATGAGGTGGAAAAGTGCCCAGCACGGTCCCAGAGGATGGCTTCTGCCCCCTTTTTTAGTGGGATGTGTTTCCTTGACCTTTGGAAATGCCATTTTTTGTGTCACTTCTAAAGTTTCCTGGCTAGAGAATTCCTTAGCCTAACATGCTTCTCTGGGGGTCGAGGTTCATATCTGCAAAGCACCAACTTGGCAGTGGAGTGCGCCTCCTTTGAAAAAAGATGAAAGAATGTCTGTGGGAAGACACGGGAGGGAGGAGTGGTGGGGCCAGACCTTCTCGGGGGGACTTGGGGATCCCCGTAGAGGGGATTAACTGGACTCTTCCATCAGGATGATCCAATCCCAGCCGTTTATTGTGGAATTCCCTTGGAGCTCAGAATTCCAAAGGGAGAGGACAGAGGCATTCCTGGGGTGGCCACTACCTGCAGGGGAATCCATCGTGTCCCGAAGAAGCTAGAGGCTCTGTTGACACAGAAGAAAGGGGTGTGGGCTGCTTAGAGAGGAGCAGGAGACACGGCCTTTTTGGGGTGCCAGTGCTGCTCCTCCCAGGTGCACACGTGCTATCCTGAGCTCATGCAGGGGCGCACAGGTACTCCAGAGCCACCTGTGGGCCCTCAAGCCCTGTGTCTCCCAGAGCAAGGACACTAATTCCGCTGTGCCCTCACCTGTCTCCCTAGAACCTACAACTTCTCCACCGATGGCTTCCACAGTGCAGCCCTGGGGGCTGGCCTGTGCCTGAGCACCGGGGTGCACGGCGGCGTGGACTGGATGAGGAAGCTGGCCTTCCGCTACCGGGTGAAGGAGATGTATAACACCTACCGGGACAACGTGGGCAGTGAGTGCGGAGACTTCCACAGGAGGGACTGGGCAGTGGGAGAGCAGCAACAGTCCCCAGGACCAGCCGGTAGCATTTGATTCCCTGACTTTCAGGGGGAGGAAGCCTGGGAGAGAGGGTACTTCCTGTCCCTGAGCACTGGGCCTCCAGAGCATAAGCTGGGCGTGGTCAAGTGCCCCTAGCTGGACCTGAGGCTCTCCAAAGTGGTCACGGAGCCTGGAGTCGGCTGGGTTTTTTGTCTCATGAATTCAAAGAGGTTAAAGGCAGCTGTAGGAACTTACCAAGGCTAAGTGAAGTAGGCTCCGGGGGCTGGAGGGGACCCCAGAGGACTGGCCAGGCATTTTCCCTTCCTTGGAAAGGCTTCAGACTCCTGGTCACATTTGTCCTGATTTTAAAATAAACTTTCCCCAAGTTTCTCAGCAAATCCCTGCTGCTGAGGAGACCTCTGGGAGCCCACTCCCCCACACGGCTGGTCTCCTCCTCCTGGCCTCACTAGCGGCCTCCACCTGAGGACTCCTGAGAAATGCAGGGTCTGTGCCCCCTCACACCTGCTGATCCCAAACTCAAGAGCTGGGCCAGGGTCTGTGCTCCAGCAGGCATCCAGGAAATGTTGGGGCCCTGCAGCCTGAGGGCCAGGGCTGGGTCCAGAGCAGTGCAGAGCTGGACAGAGATGCACAACCCCAGTCCCTGTCCCAAGCCACTAACTCAGAATCTGTGTCTTTAATACGATTCCCTCAGTAACAATGGGGTACCAGGAGCCACTGGTTTCCAAACAAGTTTCCCCGTCTCCCCTCCCTCAAGAATGTCTGCAGCCAATTCTCTGGGTCGGCTGATTCTCTGGGTCTGGCTGCAGCCGCCTGAGGCTCAGGGTCCCCGGGTTGTCACATGCAGTCTTTCCTCGCCACCTAAAGGAGGCGTCTGAAGGGGGCTGGAGGTGGGTTGGTGGGCAATGGCCACCTCCTGGGTCAGTAATTCCAGGATTCTCCAGGCCAGTGGTTCTCAATGGGAGAACCTCAGGAGGCCTTGGGGTCTCTAGATGGCCTGGCACATGGAGGAGAATGAGGGTCTAAGACAGCAGGGGTGGGCCTTCCATTTCCTGGGCCTCCATTCCCAGGACCAGGAAAGTCGGTTTTAATCCCGGACAGGATCCGTCTCTGCCCCATGCTGACACATCCTAGCTGCAGGGCCTTCGACAGGAGGGAGCCGTGTGCTTGAGTAGGGAGACAGTGGAGGCCCTCTGCTCCCCCACCACATCAAGGCCCAGGAAATGCCCTGGGCTTCGTCAGTCTGCTCTGTTCTCCCCACGCTGGGGTGATGTACCCTGGTGTCAATAGGGTATCACCACTGGCAGGAGCCAGCCCCAGTCCACCAGCTACTTTAGCACCAGAGAACGAGCCAGGTGCAGGACTGCAGCCTCTAGCCAGAGGCCAGCACAGACTCTCTGGTGCTGAGGGGGGAGGGTGCTCACAGGGGGTGACTTCAGGACACAGGCTGGATAGGAGGCACTCGGGGAGTCGCATCCCAGAGGCCAATAGCAGACTTGGAGCCTGTGCCTGACATTGTCCTCTCTTTAAGGACAATTCCAAGAAGCCACACAGCACTTCCACTGTTCACCTGCCAAAACTTCCATCACATGAGCACACCTAGCTGAGCAGAAGCTGGCAATGGAGACTTTTAGCCCAGAGAGCACCAGCCCCTTAAAAACAAAAGGTTTTATTACAAATGAAGATTTTTTAAAATTTTTAATATTTACTAAAAAGAAGGATGGATGATGGGAGGCCAATCATTGTGTTTTCTCCACAAACAGCAAATGAAAAATCCCTTCGAACAACGATTCTTCTGCTTTTCAGGAAGATAAAGAGGCAGGGGAAGCTGGAGGGGCTCGAGGTGGGGGATGGGAGGAGAGTGTCTAGATCCTGCTGGGCCTTGTTGAGTGGTGGGTCACCCAGTGGAAAAGGTGATGGCAGACAGCACAGACTCAGGGCAGGATTGTGTCACAGTGAGGTCATCATCCCTGCACACATAGCCCTGCCGAGTGGATGGATGGATGATAAGTGGATGGATGGATGGGTAAGTGAATGGATGGATGATGGATGGATGGATGGATGGATGGATAGATGATGGATGGATGGATGGATGGATGAGTGGATGGATGGATAGATGTATAGATGGATGTATGATGGACAGATGATGTATGGTGGATGGATGGATGAATAGATGATGGATGGATGAGTGGATGGATAAGAAGATGGATGGATAGATGGATGGATGGATGGATGAATGGATGGATGGTGAATGGATGGCTGAGTAGATAAACAGGTGGATGGATGGCCTGATGGAGGGTGGCAGTATCAGTCAGTGGATGTATTCATCAACCCATCAGGTGACCCCAGGAGAGGTTAGGAGGGGCTGCTGGGTTGAAGTTGGCGCTAGGTGCCATCTGATTGAGTCCTCCAGGTACAGTAGCTCACTCCCCTTCCCCAACTCTGTCCCTCTACCATTTTTATTTTTTTATTTTTTTTTATTTATTTTTTTGATTACTCTCATGATTTATTAATATTCAGATTGAAAAAGGAGCCTTAGAGCCGCAAGTTACGCTAATTGGCACATTTGCTTTATTTATTTATTTTTAAAACAAACTGGGTTTTTGAATTTTTTTTCCTTTTTGTTCATTCCATCACATTGAAAAGGAGAAAAACAAAATGGTTTTGAATTCACTCAATATTTTGGACTCCTCAGATGAACGGAACATTGCACACACACTTGGAACAGAGAGATAGAGAGGAAAGTGGACTCCCACAGGGCCACACGCACCAGATCAAAAAACTGGGATACAGTGCAAGAATTTCCCAAAATGATTGGATCATCATTACCAAAAACTCGCCATAACAACACCAAGAAACAAAAAATTTTTAAGCCACACTGTTTGACTTGGGATCTTTCCTGCTTTTTTTTTTTTTTTTAAATGTTTGCCACACAGAGAGAAAGAGGGCTAGTGGGCGGGAGAGGACAGACTCACAGACGTGAGCAGGACAGGAAGGGAAACTTCAGAGTGGAGTTGAGAGAGGGCAGGAGAGACAGGGCTCAGGAGAGGGGAGGGTGGGGACGTGGAAAGCCATTTCTTAAAGTTCAGGCATGTTCCTGGTCAGCCTCACGTTCTTCTTCTTTACCCTCATCCTGCCGGGCACTTTCCTTAGGTTTGGTTTCATCTACAGCTTCTATCTTCTCTTCGGCTTGGCTGCTCTCGGCGGTCTCCGTCGGAGGCTGGGCTGTTGCCTTGACGGCAGCATCCTCTGCAGCAGGGGTGGTGGCAGCAGCAGCAGTGACAGCAGCAGGCACATCGGCTTGTTTAGGCTCCTCCTTGGCGGACACGTCTTCGGCCTTGGAGGACGGCGAGTTGTCAGTGGAAGCTTTAGCGGCACTTTCTGTCTCAGCAGAGCCGGCCTTCTCCTCCGAGGGGGCAGGCGCCTGGGCGGCCGCCTGCTCAGGGGCAGCATCGGGGGCGCCCTCCGCTTGACAGCAGCAGGCACATCGGCTTGTTTAGGCTCCTCCTTAGCGGACACGTCTTCGGCCTTGGAGGACGGCGAGTTGTCAGTGGAAGCTTTAGCGGCACTTTCTGTCTCAGCAGAGCCGGCCTTCTCCTCCGAGGGGGCAGGCGCCTGGGCGGCCGCCTGCTCAGGGGCAGCATCGGGGGCGCCCTCCGCTTTCTTCTCCTCGGAAGGGGTGTCTCCTGCTTTGCCGGCCACGTCAGCCTTGGCTGGGGCCCCTTCGGCAGCCGGGCCTTCTCCCTCCTTCTTCGGCAGCGGGGGCTTCCTCCTTCTTCTCATTGGCTTCGGCCTCAGCAGCCTGGGCATCGCCCTTCTTCTCTCCTTTGAGCTTTTTCCTTGTTATGTGTCCACGGAAGCTAGCCTGAATTTTGGTCGCGGCCTTGTGAGCTTTGTCTTCGGGTTTGATTCCATCTTGTTCAATCTTTTGGTCCTCATCATTTTTTTCCACCTGTTTGGTTCTTCTCATACAGCACAGCATGGTTGTATCGTCCCTTGCCTTCTTCCTGCCTTCTCTCCTTTCCTCCTCTCTCTTTCTTATTCCCCCCCTCTCCACCTCTTTTCTGCTCGCTTGCTCACTCGCTCTCTCGCGCTAGCGCGCTCTCTCTCCCTCCCTCCCTCTCTCTCTCTCCCTCACACACACCAGGGCAGTTAGCAGCAACTGTAAGGTCCACAGCTATTGCTCATCGCACATGCTCGCTCTCGCTTTCTCTCTCTCTCTCTCTCTCTCTCTCTCTCTCTCTCTTCCTCCCTCCCTCTTCTCTCTTCTCTTCTTTTCCCTCTTCTCCACCCGCCCCAGATCCCTGATTTTTCTTCTCTCCTCCCTCTACCATTTTTAATATAATCACAGCACCTCTATTTCTTTTCTCTGCAGGATTGATAGGAGCTCCCAAAAGAGAGACTTGGCTACAGCTCTGAGCAGAGCTGGAGGCGCTGACAGACCTCTGGCTCATGCACTTTCTGAAGGCACTAAACCTCATCAACTCCCGGCAAGTAGGAGCCCTGTTTCATTCTGCACCACTGAGCTTTCCAGGAGACTGGTGGCTCCACCTCCCACACATAGGAGAGCTGGATGCCTCCAGTAGCCCTTCCTAAGCTTCCTGTGGGAGGCACAGTGGCTGCCTTGCCCTGATAGCATACCCCAGCAAGTAGCGGCAGAGACTTCTTGGGGTCCAGCAGGCCTCAGGGTTCTGGATTCTCTCCAAAGATCAGAAGGGGCTGGGCACAGTGGCCTACACCTGCAGTCCCAGTGACTCAGGAGGCTGAGGCAGGAATAATGCAAGTTCAAGGCTGACCTCAGCACCTAGAAAGGCTGTCTCAAAAAAATAAAATAAAAAGGCTAGAATGGAGCTCAGAACTGGCACTTGGTCTCCAGTTTGCCCCTGCCCCCACCCTCCCTATTGTCCTACATTCAGTCCCTGTGACCAATTACATCACCTAGACACTTGCAGCTAATTAAACAAACACATGGATCTTACAATAAACATTTGCTATTAAATAAGCAAGGTTGTGGCTCAGTGGTAGGACACTTGCCTAGCATGTGTGAGGCCTTGGGTTCCATCCTCAGCATCACATAAAAGTAAATACATAAAGGTACTGTGTCCATCTGCAACTAAAAATATTTTTAAAAATAAGCAAAGTATTACACTCACGTTACATGTTAACATCAACCAGCTAGAGGCCTGAAGACAGGAAGAGCTAGGGGATCCCTGGGCTCCACCCACACCTGACCATGGCCCCAGAGTCATCACCGACTCCAGGCTCCTGCTGCAGGGTGGGGAGGCCTGGCCTGGGTACATTTGAGTTCTAATCCCCAGTTTCCTTCCTCAGGCCCAACTGTGTCATAGTGCTGGTCACCACCACCCTACTGAACCCTGCCCTGGCCAAAGTCTTGCTGTACGGACTGGGTTCCATGTTCCCCATGGAGAAGATCTACAGTGCCACCAAGACAGATAGGGCGCAGCCAGCCTTCGAGGAAGCAGGAGCAGGGGGCTGGGAGGGCTGGCCGGGGGTGGCAGGGGCTGGCTTCCTGTGCTGGGAACAGGGCAGCCAGGGAAAGGTCACCGGGGAGGTTTACTAACCTGTCCATGACCCTCACAGCCCTTTCACCAGGGTGGACAACAGAAAACTAATAGCACTAAATGAATGCTCTCCTCCTGCATGACTAGAATGAGCACCTGATTTGCACCACTTATCTTCTTTTTATGACAGGGAATGTTGATTTTTTTTTGTGCGTGGGGAGCTGATTTTTTTGGACTTGGGGTAACCTGGAATTGAGCTCAGGAACTGAGCCACATCCCCCAGCCCTATTTTGTGTTTTATTTAGAGACAGGGTCTCACTGAGTTTCTTAGCTCATTGCTTTTTGATGAACTGGCTTGGCCACTCCCGGATCCTCATGGAACCTAGGTATCTTCCACCACCCCCCTCCACCCCCCCCCTGCAGTGCCTCCTACAGCACCCCCTGCAGCACCTGGATCCAGTGCCCAGATCCTTTTGCCTCAGCCTCCCAAGCCATTGGGGTTACAGGTGTGCTCCACTCTGCCTGGCATTTTTTCAATTTTCATATCACCTGGAAATGTATATGAATACAAAATAAAGCTAGTTAGTGGACGTGTTTTTGATCAGAAATTCTTACCTTTTTTTTCTGGAGAAGAAAAAAATCTAGTTCTTCAGATGCAAAGTGTCTTCGAGCAGCTCTTTGCTTTTTGCTTGTAGTGATTTTCTAAGTCTGACTATGACTTAGAAATGGAGCCTTTAGAGTTTAAAATAACCGCAATTCAGGTGAAAAAGTTTATTAGACTAACATTTGCAAACAAAACTTTGGGGGCCTTCTCATTTTCTTCCCTGGATCCTCTGGGCAGGTGTCCTTGGTACCTCTTACTTTAATGATATTTTTAAAAATTTAATTGTGATAATTTAACAATATAAAATGTTTGTTTATCTGTGGGTTTGGGGATTTTGTTTTGCTTTGGTTTTTGGCACGACTGGGATTACCTAGGGCCTAGCTGGCAGGGTAGGTGCTCTGGGCACCAGATCCAGGTGGCCTTGGGCTGCCCGGCAAGGCTTCTTCCTGATGTCGCCCGGGCTTGGGCAAGTGCTCGACCTCCATGGGGCTGCGTTGCCATCCGTTAGGTGGGGATGGTCCCAGCGCGAGTTGTCTGGGTGAAAGACGGCCTCAGTCGTGGGCTGCTGGCCACTCCCGGATCCTCCCGGAACCACGGTCTCTTCCTTCCTCCCTCGCTCCATGTGTACAGGGAAGGAGAGCTGCTTCTAGAGGATAATACAGAGGTTCAGCAGGAAAGCCATCTACATCGTGATAGGTGATGGTGTGGAAGAGGAGCAAGGAACCAAAAAGGTACCTGCCACCCGCCATGCCCTGCCCCACTCTCCTCCTCCTGCTCCAGGCGCTCTCCCTCTGCCTCCCGCGGGCAGCCGGCTCCTACTGGCCATTGCTGGCCAGTCTATTCCCATTTGTAAATCTCAGAAGCATCCTGAGTAATTTCCTTCTGCAAATCCCCCTTGTGCCTCTGGCTGTGCCCCTGGTAGCCCTGGACTGTTTCTGCGTGCTGCGCCAGGATCCCAGAGGCACTCTGCGGGGGCTGGCCGTTTTATTGAATGCTCCCCGATCCGTGTTCCAGGAACGCTTCCCAGTTAATAAAGATAGCATTAAGCTAATGAAAAAGAAAGTCCCACATCTTTGATCTCGGGTGTGAGGAGAGGGCAGGGGGTTCTGTGGCCGCCACTCATAGAGGGTGGGGACCTGTCCAGGAAAATCATGGACCTAGTGTGTGCACATGGGGATGGATCTAGTGATTCTTCGATCATCTAACAAACAACTTAGTCAACCTCTCTGAGCCTCAAATCCACCCTCCAGATCAATTTATTTTAAAAGAAATATGCCTTTAGAAAGAAGTATATAAGCCAGACATGGTGGTGCACACCACACATGGTGCCTGTGGAAGGGGGGCCGTGGGGAGATGGGGCACCCAGGACTTTCTCTCCCTGGATCTGGGCAGCTCTGCTCTGTCTCCTTCTCCACTCCAGCCAGGAACCTGTCCATCCAGTAAAATCCTCTTTTCATCCCGGAAGAAGCCTGAGCTTGCAGCCCATAGGAGCCCGAGCCAGGTGCTCTAGGCAGCATTAGAGAGCCGTCACCTCCTGGGCCCTCCATTCACAGCCATCCACCCCGCCACCCTGCCACATATCCACTCACTGACCTTGGTGGCCATCTGTCCCTCCTTTCAGTCATGCCCTCATGCACCATGCAACTGTCTGATTGTCCCTGCAGATTATCCATCCCACAGTCCACCCAACTACCTGAACTACCTGCGAGACATTGTTATCCACCATCCTCTACCCGCCCAGATGTTCTGCCCTTTCCTAGTTGGCCAACTGTTCAGTCACCTCACTCTTGTCACCCCTATGGCGAGGACCCGGAGTGCAGCTCGGTGTGGGCACCCCTGGGTTCATCCCCAATGGTGGGGCAGGGGCAGGAAGGAGGGAAGGAGGAAGGAAGGAAGGAAGGAAGGAAGGAAGGAAGGAAGGAAGGAAGGAAGGAAGGAAGGAGGAGTTCAGAGCAGCTGTGCCTAGAGCAGCTGTGCTCCTTCCAGTGGAGCCATCCCAGCCCCAGCGAGCCCGACTCCCTGGGGGAGCAGGACTGGGGACCACCTACACCACAGCAGGTGAGTTCTGCAGCGTATGTCCATTGGCCCGTGGTCCTGGGGCTACAGGCCTGCATCTGGTGTCCTGTGTGTCTTGCAGAAGTCAGGACTCCAAGCAGCCTCTGCCTCAACGCCACCGGCCCTCTGCTCTCAGGGTCCCCCTGGACGGCTTCTGCGATGGCCACTGGACAGTCCTAGGGGTGCAATGCTCTGCCTGGGGTCCGGCGTCTGGGCCTTTGGGGCTCTTGGAGGGGAGGCGGAGCATCCAGGGGGCCCAGTGGGTGTGGTGATGGCAGGTGTCCGGTGTTGCTATAGGTACTGGAGCTTCAGCAGTTGCCTGAGTGCCTCCAGGTCGGCGTGGCAGGAAATTCGACAGAAGGGCATGTTATGCTGTGGACAGAGTGCATGTTTGCATGGTTGCCAGCTGGGCACCCACCGACCCTCCCGTCTGCCTCTGGGGTACAGGCCACAGGGCTACAAGGCCATGTCACACATTAAGGGAGGGGTTCCTGTCCAGACTCTGCTCTCACTATGTCGTGAGGCCCCTGCAGGCTCTTGCTGGTGTTCGATCCCCACCGTGAGGCCTTGGGGGGGCCAGAGACCTTGAGGTTGTGACAACAGTGGCTTATCAGGCCTTATGCTGCCATCTTTTTTCCTGAGGAGAGGAGTACACTGGGGAGGGAGCAGTACTTTATGATGGATAAAAGGCATTAAATAAAACCATGTTTACATTTTGCAGTGGGGCAGGCGGGGCCTGCAGCCTGCTCTGGCCTCCAGGGTCCCCCACGCCCTGGGCCGGGCCTTGCTGGCACCTAGATCTGGGCCGCACCCTCGAAAGCACAGTCCAGGGCCGCTCCCACTCAGCCTGCTCTGAGGGGCGCCTGTGCTGTCCACAGCTTTCTTTAAAAACAAAGGTGAGCCACAGTCTTCCCAACAGCCGAATACCACCCTCACAGATGCTAGAGGATAATTGTCTCCCCAGAGCATGACTTGAGCAGAGAGCCCTGAAACCAGAGCTGCTC